ATACAGGAGTGCCCAATTGGAACGTCCATGTGACAGGGGCCTTCCTGTCCTGGTGCCATCTTTTTGTTTGAAAAAAAAAAAAGACAGGAAGGCTGCATTTGAGTCACTTTTTACTTAAAAGTATATCGGCACTTTACTAAAAATTACACAGATGCGATGTACTGATATCATTTTTTTTTTTGAGGCTATTGGGACACGTAACAATTTTAGTTAGAGAAGTGATGTTTCCACAAATCGTGGTTCCGAGCACATCCGACTATGTTTTCAATTATATGGGGATGTGGCTACCGCAGAGAAGATGGTGAAAAAATTCTGTTTGCATAGATAGCCTCTGCAAAGTTTGCTCCCAAGACATGGGTTACTCATAGAGCTCAGTGCTGAGCACTATATTCTGTCTCAAACAGTACCCTCTAGTGGTGTTCAGATAGATGCAAACAAATTCCAGGCCAATTACGAGAAACTGGATTTATTTTCCCTAAAGTTTACACGTCATATCGGCATTGTAGGGACAGCTATAGATGTTTAATGTTTTAGCTCAGTTATACTTTAAATAGAAACACATTTTAATTAGATATGCGTAATGAATAAAGGGAACCTGCTTTTATTTTTTTCTGTGGTTCAATACATGCAAAATCCTAAAATGTGCTGCTGCACATTAGTAAGGCAGAACAACAATAAGGTAATGCTTGTTTTCCTTTTAGACTTTGAACACCTGCATAGCCCATACATTATGTTGCTATATAGCTGCTGTAGATTCATTTAATACCTTTTTAACATGATCAATTTAGTTTCCCTTGGTGACACTAAACACGCAGACTGTACATGAGTTGCAAACACTGGTTTTCTTAATTCTTCCTCGAGGAGTGAATCATAAAAGACCCTTTATGGTTGTAAACATTGAATATTTAGCAAATTGAATTAACCTGTATTTGCGCTCTATTATACTCAGTAAACCAAATTGATTTCTGTTTGCACTCCATTACACTTACCAGAGCAAATTCTAAACCCAGCAGATCAAATTGGCTTCCAATTTGTATGGCATTATAAGCATTACAGATGATTTTACATATAATTGTGCAGAAAAAAAAGAACATCTGTGGGTGCCCAATAACATGAACCATGCGGTTGGCTGCTTCCTCTAACCTAGGAGTGCAGGGTGAGGAAGTCCTGTGTGGATGGATACAGCATAAGGCACATTTATATGTATGCAGCTGAGAGGAGTTTTGTTTTTCATAAAGCTGAACATTCAGCTAGATGTCTGCATTGTCTTAAAAGATACTTTGTGTTTGGTTGAACCGCTTTCAATTAAAAATAAAGTTTCTTTACTATTATAAAATCAAAAAATCAAATCACAGGCTTTTGTAACTGATGTAAAAAAAACTTCAGCCCCATGGTCATATATGTTGCAACGTGTGAGAGGGGAAAAGGTCCTTCCCTGAATGCGTAGCGTATGCTTTGATCAGATTGGCAAGCGAGACCACCTTCCTTCTTTTTTTTTTTTTTTTTTGCTTCCTTCTTCTTTTTTTTTTTTTTTGCCCATTGGGGAACACAGGAAGTCATATACTGTTAGGATATTCTGCTTCTTAGAGGAGGATTGGACATTGGCAAACAAAAACATTTTAGGCCAGCTCAGTGTAACCCCTCCTATGCTTAGCATGCATTCTTTTTTGTTTTTTTGCTGGTGTTCTAGGGCAGCTGGACATTTTTTGTTTTGGTTTAGCTAAGAAAAGTCTAGCCTTTTTGCTAGCTTTTTTTTTCCACATTTTTTTTTTTTTTTTTTTTTTCAATGAAGATTTTTGCTTCACCGCTGCTTGAACTGGTAAGTACTTGGCTGCTGTCTAGATTAGCCTTTCCTTAGGCTACCCAACTGGACATCCAGTTGGGTAGCCTGAGTGTGTCTGTCAGGTGCCAGGTTCCACTGTGAAATACTTAGCAGCAAAGTGCTCTTCATATCCAGAGCTGTGTAATTTCCTCAGCGCTTACCCTGTCTCTGAAGACTTATTTTGGCCATTCAAACTGAGCATCGGAAGCTACCTTGTGAAGAGCTCTATGCGCTTTCATATTTTTGCAGCTTTCCATTGGTTTCATCTGAGACAGGGTTTGTGCTGAGGAAGCATGAATGTCGTCTGCTGGGTGCAGTTGCGCACTCCACGCTCTTTCTTGCCATTCGATGTTGAGAAAGTACGTTGCTGCTGCCTGTAAGATCCATATAAAATTCCAGTTCCTGGCTCGTTCCAGCTCTCCACCTACAGTGACTTAGCCCACCACCTGGTGCAGCATGACATTTGCAGCCTGAAATTTTGCCCTGTGTTAGTAGTTAAGTGGACTCTTTCAGTGCTTTCTATGCTTAAATCCGTGCTGGAAACTGCCCAGTTTTACTCCGGATCCCTACAATACTACATTCTTTCATCATGAGACAGCTCTCTGACCAATTTGGCTGGCACTAGTTTGTCCATGCCTTGGTGGTTCATGAATCCAGCCCCAGAGTCAGAAGTCCTTTCTGTCGACTTAAAGATCCCACGACAAATGCCAGCCTGCCTCTCTGGGGAATTGCTGATTTAGAAGTCTTGGACATTGGAGAAATCTCATATTTCATTCTTCTCTTTGAAGGACTGATTTACAATCCTGCTTCACATGGGTTATTCCCATGATACTACAAAAAAAGTCTACTTCTCGCAAGGTTAATCATCCCACAAGGAAGGTATACTTCACTTGGTGCCAGGTGCTTAGTGCTTTCACCCCATTAAATTATCAGTGGGATGAGTCCTTGCTTTACAGATGGGCCTGGACCAGTATTTGGCCTACAGCATCATCAATGGTCATATCTGCTCTTGTGAACATTTTCTTTGTGCTGGGTTATTTCCCATGTAGCTTCACCTGTTGTTTTTCCTCTGCCAACCACAAGTGCCAACCTTCTGCGTGCCTCCATAGCCAGCTGGTTGCTATGGGGGCACAGTTGCAGGCTCTATCCCAAGACATGCTGTCTGTGTCCATAGACAGACAGAGCAGCTTGGCCCCACCCAAGACTTTACTGACAGCCTGTGAGAGCGGGGAGAGAACACAGAGCTGCTGGTAAGTAGGAAGGGTTGAGGGGTGATACTGCTACTTAAAACATATGACAACTTAAGTGGTTCAAAAAGCCTAAACATTTACCCTAATAATGCATTCTCTAATACAGTAAATGATCTATGTGTGCATGCACACACACACACACACACACACAAGTGATGAATTTTGACCACTTTTAGTCCAATTTTATTTCATTTTTTTTCTTCAAAATTACTTAATCTATACATATGCATTTTTAATGTGTGAAGTGTTTGGTATCTGTTTACTTGGTGTAACTGTCTTTTTATATGTGACCAAAAACTGGATTTTTAGTGTTTGTGTGCACTGTAAATATACTAAAGTCATGTGTATTTTCCAAAAAAAAACTTGCATTTGAAGAACTGCTGTGCAAATATCACGACACAGAAAATTGCAAAACCCACTATTTAGTTTTCTAGGGCCTCTGCATAAGTATAAAAAACCAGCGACAAACTACATACATTTAATTATCCATAGGCGATGCTTTAAAATGCTTTAAAGGTGACGAGTTTAGAGTTACACAGGAGATCTGGTGCTAGAATTATTGCTCTGACATTCGCAGTGATACCTTACATGTGTGGTGCAATCGCTGTTTGCGTGCAGGACTGATGTGTGTTTGACTTTGTGCATGAGCACTGTGGTGCTTTAAACATTTTTTTTTTTTTTTTTTTTTTTTTTTAAACACTTTCTCTTTACTTATTTATTTATTAATTGGCTTTGTTGTCACTAAGGATGAACACGATCCCGTGTGATAGCATGGGCAGTGACAGGTACTCTTTACTGAGAGATCTGGGGTCCCCTAGATATCTACTTTGCCATTAAACCCATTGGATCAAACCAAGAGCCGTTCGATCCAATGCTTTCCCAATCCAGTAATGGCTTGTTTAAACCCTTCACGCCTAAGAGTAAAACAAATCTTAAAGCCGAAGTAAAATTTTAAAACTTTGATGTGCGTTTAGTAAAACTGTACATATCATCACAACTACTTTGTACACCCAGGTGAATTATACCGCGTTTTTTTTTTTTTCTTTTCAGGACAAATTGGGCTTTCATTTGGTGGTAAATGGTAATGGATATCTCCTTGATTTATTTATTTTTTATTTAGCTGTGTTTTTTGTTACTACCATAACCTACCACCAAAGAACAACCCAAAATAAATTTTCCAGCTTTTGACGATCGCAGCAATACCATATGTTTATTTGTTGTTTGTACCTGTACAAACAACAAATAAACATATGGTATTGCAGAAGCAATAGAGCACTTTTTTTTTTCTTTTACCTAAAACACACTGATAACAATTTAAAATAAAAAAAAAAAAAAAAAAAAATTCCATTCAGAGAGAAAAAAAAGGGGGGGGGGGCAGGCTTCACAGTGACTGATCACTGCGATAGCCAGTCAGAGGCTATCACAGCGATCATGTGACCCGATCAGGACCCGGGGCTCTCAGTGACACCCTGGTCTTTGTGCTGGGAGCAGGGCCACACAGCGTGCTCCCAGCAAAAAGACAGGTACGCAAATATGCGGCCCACGGAAAAAAGCCCAGTTCTGTGAGGCTGCTCATTTGTGTGACTTCAGTGTCAAGGGGTTAAAGTCTGGCTAAACCAGAAGTGACAAAATACTCATCGCTTCCAGTTTCTTGGACCTTACAGATCAGGTACATTCCTGTGGGATGGGAGAGCCCGGAGAGGCAGGACACCCTTCGGCCGCATGTAAAAGTGATCCAGCGGCTAATTAGACTTTTTTTTGTTTTGTAAAAGTGATCCTAGTGGCAATCGCAGTCTGAAAACACAGATACCGGGATGATGCCTGTAGTTGCATAGACCAGTCTTCATAGGCATGTAGACCTGGTTTGTCTTTGTGTTTTTTTTTTTTTTTTTTTTTTTTTTCTTAAACTTGGCTTTCTTTTCTTACAGGCAGTAATGGCCAGTGACTTTGCCATTCCTAGATTTCGATACCTGGAAAAGCTACTGCTTGTTCATGGTCGATGGTGCTATTCTCGACTCGCCAATATGGTGTTATATTTCTTCTACAAGAATGCTGTAAGTAAAGGCAATAGTGAACTGCTGAAGTTTCATTATTTTTAACAGTTCCACTCTTCTTCTACCCAGTGACTTTAGGAGCTGTTTTTTTTTTCCTGAACATGTACTTGTTAAAGGGTTTTATTGCTGTATATGTTCCTACATGTAAAACCTCATTCACATGGGCATACCTATGCATACACAGGGACCTGCACAGCTGTCAAATTTGGACCAGCGGCTGTAATACCTGTGCAATGCCTGCAGTCAGCCGCTTTTTGTACAGGTGTATGTATAGGCATGCTCCATGTGAATGATGCCTACATCATTGCAGAATAGTAGTGTACAGTTTGCCATCTCAAGGTGACATACGGTATATAATATACCCAGAAGTCGGATATACAGGGAGTCAGACATGAAGCTATATGAAAGGTGGAGGGGGAATATAAATATTTTATAATAAAGTAGTACTAAAGGATGTAACTTTTGGATGGATGTAATCATTTTAAATACTATGCATAATAAACACTGGTTAACTTTTTACTTTAAATGTAATTGTAATGCTTTTATATATTACCTCCAGTTTCAGGGGTGTGGAAATTTATGAAAAAACTACTTGTCCGGGGACTAAATCTAGGCCCCAATCTACTGTCCCTCATGACAATCTACTTGTCCAAATAAAAAAAAAAAAAAAATTTTAAACCAAAACCGCATTTAAATCTGAGGTGCTTTTAGGAATGTCTGGGCTTTTAAAATCAAAAGTTGCTTTATGGCAACCTAAACATTTTAATATTTTTAACATTTGCTCTCTAGCACCACACCTGGGGACTAGCAGGGAGGAGAGAGACCTTGCAGTGTAATGAGCACCAATTGGATGCTTGTCCTGAAAGGGAAGTGTTGGGCTTATCCTTTATCCCTTTCGCTGCCAGAGCCGTTTTTTTACACAAGTTTACACAGATGCGGCCCTTTGCTTGTCATTTTCCAACCCTTGGGACACTTTTCCTCCCACAGACACCGACAATGGGGCATAATTCCTGTTATTGACCTCGACAACAAAGCACTATTCCTCCCACTGACTCCAACGATGGGACACTATTTCTCCTCTGCTATGCAGAGCTATACATAGCAGCATGCTGGAGCTGACGGGGAGAGATCTGTATTGTACATACATACCTGTCCCTCGTCAGTGTTCCTTAGCGATCACCGGGTGCCGACGGGGAATCTCCGGCCAGGACCCGGTGATCAACAGCTGTAGCCACACACGCGCTCCCTACCCGAAAATACAAAATCTCGTATATGTACATGATTTTGCACAGCGCTGCTGTCCTGTAGCAGTAGTTCTGCTATAGGGCATTTGGGAAGCAGTTAAACATTTATTGCATAGTTCATGAAAGTAATTTTAATACGACTTTGGATGGATTTCATGTTCACTGCATCACATTTTGTGATTGTATAATACAGATTTGTAAAAAAAATAATTTTTTTTTTTTTTTTTTTTGATTGGCAAGATACTGTTGGAATTCACTAGCCTGTATAACTATAAAATAAATTTGAGTTGTTTTTTTAATGGTGTTCTTAGACTGTATTAAGATTTGCAGAGTACATGGCCCAATTTACAATTTAGTCTCCTTTCCACATTCACACAAAAACCAACATGCTCTGGTTGTAGTGATGAGTCTTTTGTTTACTTTGTGTTTAAAATCTGGTGTTTTTTTTATTTCTAGATGTTTGTGGCCCTCCTCTTTTGGTACCAGTTTTTTTGTGGATTCTCCGGATCAGCTATGATTGACCAGTGGTATTTGATCTTTTTTAACTTGCTATTTTCATCCATTCCACAACTTGTTACTGGGATTCTTGATAAGGACCTTCCTGTTGACATGTTGATTGCTGTTCCTGAACTCTACAGGAGTGGTCCAAGTATGGAGGTAACTAAGTGGCTCACCTATGTTTCACTGTGATGCAACAGTTCATTGTCAACAAAAAACTGCAGATGTTCTATTGCCTTTGCATTCATTAGACCCCTACACATAAAGGATATGTGCTAATGAAAGGACCAAAGCTTTTCTCCCCCTTACATAGTCATTTGTAAGTGTTGGTGCTTGAACAGAAACCTTGCATGAACACACAGACCTTGCATGTCAAGTGCCTTAAGCCTGGTACACACGGCTAGTTTTTTTTTTTTTTTTTTTTTTTTCTTTTCTTTTTCATTCAGCCCGGTGGGCTGAAGAAAAACAGAACTCTAGGTGCTCTAGAATAGTTCACTGTACTAATTATGCAATTTTAGTACAGCGATCTCCCCGCTGAACTATTGTGTTCTCAGAAGGACCATCCCCTCCCCCACAAGAACAAGGCGCTCCATGCTTGCAGCCATTGGCTGAGAGCACTGATCGGCTGCTGGTTTTCCAACAAGCTTGTTTGACAGAAGCCGATATCACGAGCCACTTCTGTCAAACAAGGGCCAGATGTCAGCTGGTATTGTACCAGCTGATTTTGGTTAATATTCGGCTCATGTGTACATGTTCCCGTGTGGCTTTAATGTGTTGTGTGACTGAAAAGTCATCTTTTATTCGCCTTTACAAAGGATCAGCTTCAATGTGCAGTTGTGTAGACTCCAGTTGTGCTGGCTAGTTGTATGTCAATACTCAAAATGTGGAAGAGCAGAATCTGTCAGTTTACATAGGATTTTAATGTCCTATTTGTAATTAATCAAAGTCACTATCTGTTTCCTTTTAACATTTTGTATCTATGCATTGATATTTGGGATTGGATACAAAGCTTTTTTTTTTGTGGCATAGCTTGCTGCATATAGAAAATTTAAACCTGATATCTGAGCTAGGATTGAAAGCAGTTTGTTCATTTCCTTAAAGTGCTAAACTGGTTGTGTATCTTTCTGCATAGGAGTACAAGCCGCATATGTTTTGGCGCAACATGGTTGATGCTTTCTACCAAAGTCTTGTATGCTTTTTCATTCCTTATTTCGTAAGTTGTCTACATTCATTTAGTTATAAAGCCTTTGTTACAGGCCTCTGTGTTGCCTTTATTGATATCTGTCATTTTTATTTTGCAGACTTTCTATGACTCTGATATTGATTTGTTCACTTGGGGAACACCTATAGTCACTTGTGCCCTATTCACCATTATGTTGCATTTGGGAATTGAAACCAAAACCTGGGTAAGAAAATAATAATTTAATGGCTTGATAATGCAGGGGACTATCTAGTGGAGACATTAAGATCCCAGTCGCACTGGGTGCGACTTTGCATGCCAAGTCGCACCCTATTGTCCGCAATTACAGCAGTCATACCAGTGTGGTTCCAACTTGGTCGGAGCCGCACCGATTTCTAAAGTAGTGTATGCACTACTTTTTGGTGCGATTTACATAGACATCTGGGTCAGATGTCTTGCAAATCGCACCTCCAATGACATCTTGACTTTGAAATCGTACGACTTCACTGAAAGTCTTATGATTTTAAAGTCAGGATCGATGTGACTGGGGTGTTAGTCAGCAATTCCACGATAGGACTGGTTTTAGTACTGCTATCTAATTTTGGTTTTTATTAGCTTTAAATCTCAAACAAAAAATGACCCTAGAAAATGTACCATAAATATAGACCATAGGATTTTATGAACTTTTATAATTATTTGTCATTACCATTTTTCATGATCTACAGTATATTTATGGTACGTTTTCATGAGTTTGCTTAGTTGCATACCTACTCTTTTACATTTTTACGCGCAGCAGCTAAAATATGCAAATAAAAGTGAAGGAGTTTGTTTTTTTTTTTTTTAACCTCAGTGCATTAGATGCTTTTACAACTTAGCGCTCGCTTTATCCCTTTTACAAAAAAAATGACCCTATAGCAGTCAAAGGGGACTAGACACTTTGTACATAAACTTGTAAGTGTCCTGGGTTCCCAAACCCAATCTGTCTGTTAATGCAGATTTCAGCTTTAATCAGAAAGTAAAGCTTTGGCATACTCATAACCTGCAATGAGATGTTATCCAGGTATCTGGAGGTATGCACTGGTACCACTGAGTGTCTGCATTAAATTGGTTTATGATAATTAGTCAGTTCAGATGAACTTTAGGCTAGGTTCACACCTAAGCAGCTCTGCAAGCCATGTTTATGCAGGCACAGCAGCCCAACCATTTGAATGTGCTGCTGTGTTTTCATTTCAGACAGGAAAAAGGATCTTCCACCTTTTTTTTTTTTTTTTTTAAAAACACAGCCACATGAAAATCACATGGTGCTTTTGTACCATGTGATTTCCCACAACCGAAAACTTGCTGTGTTTTCAGATGTGTGGGAGAGCAGTTAAGATTGAATGGCACTCACATCTGTGAGTCTTTTGTGAACCTAGCCTTCATGAGAATCCAGTATTAACTTGTGACTCTTCCATTTAGTACCGCTGAAGGTCATGCACGCAATTTGCAAAATACAAGGCATTCTGTAAATGGACTAGGAAAAAGGAGAGGTAGATGCACCAATATGGCTTCTATATATGAAAGCCTAAGCCTTCATTGTTGCAGTGCCGAAAGTATATCAAGCATGAATAAAATTGTAAGAAGTAAACAAAACGCAACAGCCCTAAAAATGACCAAACCCTCATGTGAGTAAACCCCCCCCCCCCCCCCCCCCCCCCCCCAAACAAATTTTTAAGAAAGAATGTTTGCCTGGAGTTCCACTTTAAAGTGTAGCTACAGGTAAAAAAAAATAAAGCATTATATAATGCAGTCTATCATTTGCATAGAAGCAGCAGTCATCCCCTGTAATAATGTTTTTACTTTTTGATTCCGCTAAGTTAGTCCCTTGCTTTTTCCCATTTCCTGTAACAGGATGATGCAGTTTATAGCACAGTGAAGTCATGCAGCAGTGTTATCACCCCGTTCCATCAGTGTTGGCACAGGGTAATCTTAGACTGACATGTAGTTTTTGTTCAAAGGAAGAAAAACTTTTTTTTTTTTTTTTTTAAAGCAAATGTTTTAAATCATACTGTATGAATACAAGCTGAATGTCATAAGTACCCTTACCAGGGTTTTATTTCTAAAAGCCTGTAAATGCTGCTTTTGCTGGACAGCTTGGGTTGTTACAGGAAGAGGAAAAATAATGAATCTACTGGCAAGACCAACCGATAATAAAATGGCATTACAGGTGGAAACAAAAATTATGTTAATGGTTAGAACAGACTGTAATATATATGTAATTATTTTTTTAGATTAGTTTAATCATTAAACCGTCAGCTTAATGCCATTCTGAAATTACCCATAGATCATATATTAACAATAAAAAGTGCATATTTACCTTTACTGTTACCAGTGCTGCAGAACACCTAATTAAGTGAAATCATCTGTTGAAACTTCTTCAGAACTCAACACTTCTCGGAGTATCAATCTACCGGTCCCCCACAGGGGTAACTTTTTTTTAAAGGCATATGGTTTATAGACAGATTCAGATAGGTGGCAAGATCACTTTAAGCAATAATTTGTGCCTCTCTGATCCCTGTTCAGTTCTTCTTGCCATCTACACAGGTGCACCCACACAGAAAGACTGTAGCAAAGTAGAGGAGAGTAAAATGAACTTTGCTGAGTTCTGGTGACAGGACTAGCATTATTCTACTTCTAAATTATTTGGTCAGGAACACTGACAGCATGCTGAACACTAGTATACCGGTTTTGGTGCACTCATTACTTAGGGCAGTCTGTTTATAAATGTTATGTATAGCCCCCTGCTGACACCTTTCGTCAGCCATGTTCTACTTATATTGCATTGGGAAGCACAGAGACCCAGAGATAACATACCTTTTTGTAGACCCAGTGATGTAAACGAAAATGGAATGGTTTAACAACATGTAATTAGTGTGATGTGGAGAGGGAGGAACCAGGGAAGGGAAAATATATGCACATTTAAACTCTGGCATTAAAGAAAGCTACTGAAGCCATTGCTTTAGCTGCCAAAACATTTAAGGTATGAATAGCATGAAGCAAAATTTGATCTTTTGGCACCCATCTGATTCTGATGGAAATCTCTTACCAACCTCCTACTGTGACAGATAAAGTTGGGTATCAGTAATCCGCTTACAGCAAAGCTTTTGAGTGCTTTCTCAAATTATACTTTCATAATGCTGGTGTCATCTACCCTCTAGTACATTTTCTATTGGGCTGTATATACAATTCATTCCCATAAAGAGACCTCCTAAAATGCTCACCTGGAGTCCAGGTCCCAACTGTCCTAGTAGGATTAGGAGAGGATAATGTAGATAGCTGCGGTCACAGGCAGCACAGCTACCTTTGGGTGATATCACACACCTGATGTCATTTCAAAGCTCTTTACATTCCAAAATCCACATGGATATATTGTATTCAGATGGCTTTACCTTGGTGTGGCTCCTATGCTGCACAGGAAATATTTGAACAATTTCTTCATCTAGCCCAGGGAGCTGACACCCACATTGTCATATCAATTTAGTCCTTAAGGCTTCATGTACATGAGCAGCTCCTAAATTCGAGTTTAGGAACTTTGGCAAAAAAAAAAGCCAAAAGATCCTAAACTCCATTCCATAAAAGCTTATGTGTCCAAGTACACAGGCTTTTAGCAGAGTTTAGGAGCTGCCTCGTTTCAGTGAGGTTAAACCTCCCTCTCCTGAATGGCGAAGAATAGCATTCAGGATAGGAACCTTTTGACCGCAACTGCGATTTGCGTATTCCCGCGGTCAGGGTAGGCTCGTGTATGTGGAGCCTTACTCTAGTGCTACTTTGCAGATGTAACATAATCTTGGTGCTGTGATCTCTGGTATGCTGGGTCATGGTGTCAGACTCCTGCCATTGATAGCAACAGCTAGCCCCCATTCAGCTGGAAGAGTTTTTCATACTGCAGTTACTACAGTGCCTTACAAAAGGATATTTGCTTTTGGGACAACACCTCATTGTAAACTCATTCTATGAGTTTATTGAAATACCCCTAAAAATAATGGGCCAATATGGCAATAGTCAAGCAGGCTGTAGAAGATGATATATACTAGACTTAAACAGGTGCATTAAAACAGAGGCCAACAAATATGTAACTGGTAGCAAAGGGCTCATAGCAATGTTAACACACTGTGTGCGAAATTACTTTATCTGTACAAGAAAACACTAACCTTCTTTCTCCTGTATGGGGCTGTTACGTTCTTTCTAATAAACCTTGTTACCTTACTGGACATATAAACCAAGAGAGATTCATTTTTGGTAACAACAATGACTTTACAATGACAGTCCTACATGCAGCATTGAAAGCTTTATAAATATCCTTGCATAGTAAACTGCACACATACAACGTGGTAGCTGCTAATTCATTATAAAAGTAGTGTAGTTTATATTCAATAGTAACATATGTTGAAACTTTTTTGGCTTTGCTCAGTTGTATTGGTACGCAAGTGTGAATGGGCAGGCCCAAGCCAGCTCTGCATTGTTAGTATATGTGCCTGGCTTTCCAGATTGCTTTCATGGTTCTGCACTCTTAGCAGGAGGTTTTCTTCTTCTTCTTTTTTTTTTTTTTTTTTTTTTTTGTGTGTGCGTGTGTGTATTGAACGTAACATGACTGACCCCTTTTATGTTTCCAGACATGGATCAATTTGTCCACAATTGTGTTCAGCATTCTTCTGTTTTTCTCTGTGGCTTTGATTTACAATTCATCCTGTCCAACATGCAACCCTCCATCAAACCCATACTGGACTATGCAGAGACTCCTCATCAATCCTTTGTTTTATTTAATTTGTACATTGTCACCCATTGCTGCTTTATTACCCAGGTATTTTAAGTTGTTTGTTTTTTCATTTATTCATTTTCAATTTTATGTTGCCTTACATTGCGGTTGAATTATATCTGTTAAATTTCCATAGATGTAGTTTTTTTTTTCTAACTGTGAGAATTTTTTGGCATTGCTGGTAAGACGATTCCCTTTTTTTTCGGGACTAGAGCATTGACCCAAGAGATGTGAAGCTGGTGGTTAACTCAGAACTTCGCATTTACGTTAACTAAAACTTCTGCTGTGTTTATTATTGGTGGCATGAAAACTACCACTTTTGTATTTCACTTATTTAGCTGTATATAGAATGTAGCTGAAGGCATGTGGCTGGGAGATCTCACAGATGAGATATTGGAAACCAGTGGGTAGCTCAGCCAACTTCAGTGTGTAGTAGAACTCCTGTCCTTAGAAAATGTTTTTCAACAGGGAACTAGCATTTTCATATAAGCTTTACAGTTTTATATGCCAATAAATGTGTATTTCCATACAGCCAATCTTGTGATTTACCCATATTTTCCATACTCCACAGTCAGGCAGGTTACATATTTAAAGTATAACTAAAGGCAAGCTATTTTTCTAGTTTTAGATGGATTTTAGAGTGATTAGAACACCCGTCGGATTTTATTGCGGTCTGTGAGGGAGATTCACACCCTCTCTATCATGTTTTACCACGATTACCAAAAGTAAAAGAAAATCCCAAATTTTGGGTTGTCCCCTGAACAGGAACAGAGGGGAAATCTTCCAATGGGGACACTGGTTCTAGTAACCCTGGTCACACGAAGGAAACTCTCACTTTAGAGGGATTTTCTTTCACTTCCTGTTCTAGCTATGGGACAAGAAGGGAAAGGAAATCTTCCCAATTAGAAACCGATGGGAAATATAAACCTTACAGGGTTCTAACCCTCCCTTATTCTATCCCAAATTTTTTTTTAAAAAAGACCTGCCTGTTGGTCATGATTAAGCAGTTTTTCACCTTTCTGTCTAAAAACTCATTGGACTGTGGATCTGCACCATCTCCTCTGTCCAGTGCAATGGATAGTGATATATGCTTTGTTAAATGGGTTACCCCATGGTAACCATATCCCTGGTGGTTTTTTGTTTTTGTTTTTTGTTTGTTTGTTTGTGCTTTGACCGCCTATATTTGCATTTCTGTTTTTCATATATGCTTATGCTCTTATTTGACTTGCATATTATTATATATTCTATTACTTTTAGGTTTTTGTATAAGTCCATCCAAGGAACAATGTTTCCAACACAAGTACAGGTTGGTCGTCAAGTGCTGAAAGCTCATCCCGAATGCCTCAATCATATTGTAAACAGGCTACATTCTCACAGTTCACCTGTGCCAGAAAAACAAATCAGTACTACCATATCAACTGTTAGTGAATTTCATCTTGGAAGGAACCAAACAGAAACCATTGTGGACCGAGAGAAAGAGACTCAAATGTTGTGCCTTGCAAATCAAGTCAAAGGATCGCCTGAAAAAGCAAACTATACCAGTGCAGATCCTTCTTTTCCTGTAAAGATTAAACACCAGTTGGGGACACTTGCCCAGCCTTACACCCATGACTGTTCTTTGGAAGCCTTTTGTGTAGATGAGATGTTGCAATGGGATCCAAGGAAGGATCAGTCTGACATTGGATTAGTAAACTGGATCACGTCTACTCCTTTGTTTGATTCTGCAAGGCCAAAGCAGCCCTCTGTTAGTGTTCAGGACACATCCAAAGACTCTGCTATATTGCCATCAGATTTAAGTATTCCCAAAGATTCCAACCGAAGCTCAAGCTGTATTTTTCCAGAAATGGTAATAAGGACCATAGGCAACGGGGATATGCAAGAAACAACTTTTTTATAAATTTATATATGTAAAAGACTCTTATTTATATTTTTCTATTTTGCACAATTACGTTTTAGTTAATTTACTGTTTCGAGATATGAAGCAGGAAATTGGCGGTACAGGCTTGTTTTGTCAGTTTTATGTAAATACTTTAGTTTTTTTCAGAGCTTTAAAAGAAGAAAATGTTTATAAGCAGAGGGATATTTTTTACAGATTATCTGGCTTTACCAAACTTCTGAAAAATATAATAGAAAGTCTATTTGTAGAGACAAAGTTTATATTTAATGTAACATTGTGTACCATGGTGCCTTTCTTCTGTAAGAAGGTAGCTCAGCTATACTGACTAAATTGCAGGTATATTCTAAAATTGAATATAATATACGCTGGGTTCCCATAGGTTTAGGAAATGGAAACAAAGCCTTTTCATGTAGTTCTGTATAAAAAAAATGGTTGTGCTGGTGCATAATTTTCTTTTGTTTGTAATGTTGCCTAATGATAATATATCTGCCTTGAGAAGGTTATTTGAGCTATTTAAAATTAAATAATATAGCTGTTTTCACTGTAAAGTAGTACTAAACCTGAATGCAAGACATTTCTAAAACTGCTGCTGAGACGACTACACCCATTCAAAATGGTCTGAAGTCACTGGGTACATTATCATAAGATAAATCCAATCCACCTCTGTAGTCACTACAACAGTACCTGGTCAAACAAATCCTACACATACGAAAGGTTATATACCAGTTTCAAAAATTGTTTTTATTCACAGAACTATATATTAAAAGCCTTTTAGGAACAAAAACTCACACCACCACCATATTTTTTTCAGAAGGTCTATATACTTTGATAAATTATAAGGTTTTGGAAGGACCATTGTAAAGTCTGTAGCTGAGCTAAAAAAAAATCACAGAATTTGAACTTTATTCTATAAATGAGCTCAATAATTTTATCACTCTGTGCCATTATTTCACAATGTTTTCCTCAACTATATATATTAAAAAAAAAAAAAAAAATCCTCAGAAAACATTGCATTTATAGTTCTATAATAAATGGGCATTAATGAGTTGACATTATCTATAGCACTGTCATGAATTACATCTACTCCCCTTTTCCCTACAAGGGAATTCTTTTGGATACTGGCCAACAAACAAAATTGTGGCCAACCCAGTCCAGGAGGATGTTTTTCTTAGCTATCAAAATGGTTAGACTTTTCTCAGTAATTTTTTCTTTTCCGTTTGCAATAGCTTTGGACATTGGCTGGGAATTTGACCTTCATGCAATGTGTAATTTTGACCTGAGTCTACTGTTTATTAGCTGCAGTTCACTTTCCAGGTCCAGAGCTGGGGTGTGACTCTGCCTCTGAAGTCTTATGTTGTTAGTAGGCTGTGTGAAAAATTGGGGGTTTTGATGACACCTCGTTGCCTTAACAACAAGGTAGCTTCCATTGCTTTGTCAGTTTACCACAGAAGAGGTTAATGCTGAGAGACTGCATGCTGATTTGGTGGAGTGTTGCCTGTGATCCTTCCATTCAGCATTGAGGAAGAACCTCCCTCCTCTGCTCAGGGACTCTGACATTCCAGAAGTCACTCAAATCTTTTCATCTGCATTAAAGTTCTGGGGTTACTGGTAGCCTCATTCGTCAGTCCCATTTGCTTCGTTCCATTCTGCACCCTTACAGCATAACATTCTGTCTTCATGTCCTGTCTTCAGATTGTCCATTCCATGGATAAACTGATTCATCTGGCTATGACTTCAGATTGTTCTTGATCTGGTTCCTCGATTATACTGCTCTGGACTTCATTATCTTGGAAGATACACCATATATTTGACAACCCTGGTGAGAGAACTTTGGAAGGCAGATCAACATTCTGGCACTTAGTGTGTCCAGCATTGCAGATGCAACCAAATCACTCAGAGGGGGAGTGTTATCCAGTCAGACCATGCATCATTCCATAAACGGAGGGAGGAACCAGAAGTCTCACCTTGACAAAAAGTAGAGAGGATCCTGCCCTGGAAAGATCTTTATATTCCTGCCTTGTCTGCTTTTTCTATCCCAGGACAGTTAGTTGGTAGGCAGACCACCTCAGCCATAAGTTCCTGGACCTAGGAGAATGTTTGTTTTTGTTTTTTTTCACACAGGTATTTGTTGTTGAACCTTTAGGCTAGTAAGTCCATATTTGCCCCCCCCCCCCCCCCCCCCATATGAAACAGGATATCAAATGAATGGCTTTTCTCCAAATATAGAGCTCCTCTAGCAGAACCAGTGGATGCTCTGTTGACTCAGTACATCCTAATATACACCTTCCTTCCTTGTATTTGACACCGAATCAAGATAGAGGGCATTCTGGTGATATTCACTAGGCTGTGAGGAAAGTTTTCTTGCAAAGTACAACTTCCCTTGCAAAGTGGATAGCCTATTTGCCTAGTGAATCAACCCCTTTGGCTTATTAATGCCTATAGTTGCACAGCTATGCACGCAACATAATCTTTCTGAAGATATTGGTGAACAGGGCTACTTTTTTTTTTTTTTTTTTTTTTTTTTTTTTTTTTTTTTTGAAGGGGGGACTTGCCTCTTGTCAAAATAAAGGTGCAGCCAGAGTGATGCACTATATTGAGCTCATTTTACTGGCAAGTCAAAATTGTGGCATTTTATTAGGTCTGTGGACTTTATAATTATCCTGATACCTTTTAGATAGGTTACCATTTTATCAATGAACACAGACCTTTTGCAGACTATTAAGCTTTGGATATATTCTGAATAGTCTATAACTAAATCATTTATATGGGTACTCTCGGTGGTGGTGGTGTGAGTGGCTGTGTTCTAAATTGTTTTTACCATTTAATTAAATATACAGCTCTGAAAACAAAGATTGTATTTTAGAGCTGGTGTATGACTATCTGTGTTTGATCATTTTTGGCACTGTTATAGTAACTAAGGAATTTGTTTTGTATGCCTTTTTAATGCAGGATATTGAAAGAAGCTACTTATTGCTGTTCTGGGACAGAATGAAGCTAAATTAGCCAAAAATAGTGGACCTATTTCATTAAGATGCAATACGTGCCAAATAGAGCTTTAAGTGTATCTAAACCAAAAACAAAAATTGTCTTGCAGGTTACCAGCCCTTTTGATGTGGCTACATTAGTTCCTTATTTCAGACTTTTTCTGGTATATTTTCACCTGGTGATCCTGCCAGCAACACACTCCTGCCTTGGCGTAGCAGCATTCTCATTGTACTGTAACTATAGATGAAAAGCTTTCTAATGCTAAAATACAAAATGTGTATAGACTACAAAACACCCTCATTTTGTCTCCATAATATAGGGGAAGATGAGTTTAATTCACAAAAGGGAATGGAGCAGGACTGATCATACTGTTTGAGATATGGTAGAGTGCACAGGGCAGCACTGGATTTGTCAGGATCTACAGGTTTCTGTACTCTTTGGAACAGTAATAACTAATTGGTATATTTAAGGGCACACTCCAGGAAAACTTAGGAAGGTATAGTTTAAAGCTAACACCCACCTCCAATCCATTATTCTAGTCTTTTACCCCCCTTACCTGATGAAGGTAGATATACTGTACTCTAAGTTCCCAGTCCAGGTCCCTCATTGCTGCCAGTTTTGTTGCATGGGACCACTGATCCAGTGGCAGTGCCCCAAGATCACTAGTCCTCTGCTGTCCCCTTGTGGTGACATCATCCACGTCCAGCCATCCAATAGGAAATATTCACATCTCACCGATGGATATACACACCTGAAGAAGGACCCTTCCAGAAAGTAAAGAAGACTAGAGGACTCTGGTCCATGGTGTCATGTGAATGCTTCTTATAGGTTAAAAAGGACATTTAGATGGTGGGTTTTTTTTTTTTTTTCCTACTGCAATAAATTAGTGATGGCTTGGAGGGAGTATATTTCTATCCTAGAGAGGAGCTTTTAACAAAGGAAGCAAAAAAAAAGCTCATTAAGGTTTACATACACTTTAAGGCGTGCTAAAATGCCATGCGGTGATATTAAGAATCTACTTCGGCATGCTTTAAGGTGCCTATTCTTTGCTCTTTGTCACACAATCGCCCCGATTTATCAAGCTGCAACAGCATTTGACTGCTTTGCCTTACAAAGCTACTGTAGGGTTCATTTCATACCTGTATGTTCTCTTCATGCCAAATGCGATATCTCCTGCGCTCCGGGACCCAGACCGGTGGTAAGTAGATGGAATCAGACTCCAAAAAAGCAAGGAGGGGACCACCGAAATAGTTAAGGTCGTGCAGCTCCACACCAAGGCTGGGGAAGCCCAAACAGAACTGTGAGGAAGAACAAAAAAGAAAAAAGAAGCGCACCAACCTTGCGCATTACCTCAGTAACCAAAATTTATTAAATAAAAGAATGGTACTCACAAACAGCGAATAAAAACAGGCATGTCAGTCCTCAAAGGGACTTTAAAGGCAAGATGCAAATGCGAATCCCATCATGGAGGAAGCCACTCAGTACAGCTGACGCGTTTCGAAGGACAAGCCTTCTTCCTCAGAGCTGACTGGACTGAGAATGTGTGTTCCCTTTTATGCCTCCAGACTGAAATAAGGCCCTCCCCAATAGGTTGGGCTGTCCTGGGCAGGGAGGAGGGGCCCGGGTGTCCACAAAATGCAATAAATAATCATCAAGAGTTCATAGAACCATATAGATAATAAACTTCAAAAGTCGGATGAAAATATATAAAATGTATACACATATATGGAATCAATTAATACAAATAAAATCATTCATAAATACAGCTTATAAATGCATAAATAAACAATAAAATAAAGAAATATAAATAATAAATATAAATAAAAATTTCACTAATTCATCCCTTCATTAGTGCAATGATGATAATTATGGCAATATATATATATTTCTAACGATCAAAAATGCATACAATGAGTATAGGATAAATGAGGAACTCACACAACTGAATGAACCATTCATGGCCAGTGATTTCAAAATTGTTCCCACAAAGTGGGCAATATAGCCAAAGTATTTTG